CAAATTGACAACTCTGTGATTCATCTTGCAAGCAGCTTCTTATTACCTTTATATGAAGAATATTGCAAATATCCCACTTTCCTTTCTTGTACTTGTATGTAGTTTTCAAAAATACTTTTATGTAATTGGAAATGTTAAAAACTTAAACTTGTGTCAGATTATACAGTATACCTTTATATGTATATGTTACAAAATACGCTTTAGTGTACATATCTAGGCAAAATACTTTCTGTAAGTGACCATGCCAACATTTCTTGGATATTGGAATTAGAGAATTTATTTCCTGGTGGAGCCGTACAGTGGATGGTCTTTCGACAGCTTTTATTACATTGGAAAGGTTTTAATAAAAGCCCTAGATTTGAAGATGGCTAACTTGCCTTCAACTTTGTACCTGCTTTACTTTAGCTTGGTAGAAATGTATAAATGTATAAATTGGTGTCTTGACTCTTGGTCGTCTCTGCTTGATCTGTGAGATTGGCTTCTAAATCAGCAGGATCCTCAACCAGGCGATTTGGTCTGATTGGCATTGATGAGTACATGTAGGTAGACGTGGGGGGGGGGGGGGGGGCACATGAGAGGGGGACAGTGTCAGACAAACACAGCTTGAAAGATAGAAAGAGGTTGCGTTTTTCGACCAGATTTTTGGCTAGAATCAGGTTTCTCAAACGTCTTTTAGGCAAATTTAGAAGGTGATAAACGCAAAGCCTTTTTTAAAGGGCTTTAGATATGGGCATATCTAAAGACGCAAAAAGGTGTGTTTTGTATGTGACATACAGCCAGAATCACGTTTCTGAGAGATCGATAAACGCAAAGCTGTTTTGAACCTCACATACAAATAGGACCACCCAGGTGTTGTGTACAAGCATGTGTGTGAAGTTGACCTCCGAGAAACTGTCTGCTTCCCGGGTCAAAATAGCCGGGCAGACATAAGGCCTTTATTTTGAATCGTGAAGGGACGATAAACTCGACATCCCGCAAATCACGATCGTATAGTGGGGTTCGATAGTGGGGTTCAATAGTGGGGTACGATATGTACATATCTAGTGGCAAGCCCCGATAAATGCACCCAGAGAGAAAAAGAGAGAGAGGGAGAGAGAGGAAGTGGGAGGGGGGAGTGGGAGGACAGAGACAGATAGACACAGCTTGAGAGATATTGATAAGAAGAGAGAGAGAGAGAGAGAGAGAGGGGGGGGGGGGGGGAGACATAAACCAACATATATCAATTCAGTGAATTAAAGTTATGTGTACTTTGGTATTCATTTTATTAAATGTGTAGTTACCCTGAAGAATTTGAGGTACATCTAGAGCCTTTGCTTGCTCATACATGTACATGCACACACACAATCTTTGAAGAAATATGTTTTTCCTACAATCCTTTATTATACCCTTGTTTTTGTTATGTACATGTACTCCACTACACACATGTCCGTGTAATCGTGTAAATATATCTTTGGTGATAAATGAAATGGAAATTAATCTACTTCGATTTCATGCTGGTGTTGTTCTTCTGACGTCAATGGAAATTGTTTGCAGTGAGGTAGAATGTATTTAAGTGAAAACACTTTGTGTTAACTTTAATGTGATATCCATATGGTTGGATAGAGACAGAAGAGAGAGTAGGGAGGGAAATGGACTCAGGATAGAGAAGAGAATGGAAAAGGAACAAAGATAACAAAATAAAGGAGATAGAGAGGAGAGAGAGAGAGAGAGAGAGAGTAAGAGAGAGAGAGAGAGAGAGAGAGAGGGAGAAGGGGAGAGGGGGGGGGGGGAGTTATAGAATAAGATTATAAATAGAGACTGTTTCAAAAGAGAAAGAGAGGAGAAAACCAAATACATGCCTATTGTGTGAAATACTAGTAGAGAGGTAAAGAGAGGGAGAGTGAGAGGAGAAAGGCATAGAGAGAGTGAAGCACCAGAGCTGAGTACAAAATCAGATATTCATTGTAGGAAATCAAATCGAAGCAAAGTACAGTAATTACTCATCTCAGAGGGGTTTTATAAACTGCTCATTTCTGTTTCTCTTTGTTTCTCATTGTTTCTCCTGTATCTTTTATCTTTCAATACCACATAGGACAGCTGTACATGATAGCAAAACACAGCGATGAACAGTGTCTGATTGTCTCATTGTTTCTCAATGTCTTCCCCTGTCTGTTGTTCTTTCAGTACCACATAGGACAGCTGTACATGATAGCAAAACATAGCTATGCTCAATGTCTGATTGTCTGATTGTCTTCTCTTGTATCTTTCAGTACCACATAGGATAGCAAAACATAGCTATGCTCAATGTCTGATTGTCTGATTGTCTTGTAGGATAGCAAAACACAGCAATGAACAGTGTCTGATTGTCCATTGTTTCTCCTGTCTCTTGTATCTTTCAGTACCACATAGGACAGCTGTACATGATAGCAAAACACAGCAATGAACAGTGTCTGATTGTCCATTGTTTCTCCTGTCTCTTGTATCTTTCAGTACCACATAGGACAGCTGTACATGATAGCAAAACACAGTGATGAACAGTGTCTCATTGTCTGATTGTTTCACATTGTATTATCCTGTCTCTTGTATGTTTCAATACCACATAGGACAGCTGTACATGATAGCGAAACACAGCTATGCTCATTGTCTGATTGTCTTCTCTTGTATCTTTCAGTACCACATAGGACAGCTGTACATGATAGCAAAACACAGCAATGAACAGTGTCTGATTGGCTGATTGTTTCTCATTGTCTTCTGTCTCTTGTATCTTTCAGTACCACATAGGACAGCTGTACATGATAGTAAAACACAGCGATGAACAGTGTATGATTGTCTTATTGTTTCTCATTGTCTTCTTCTGTCTCTTGTATCTTTCAGTACCACATAGGACAGCTGTACATGATAGTAAAACACAGCGATGAACAGTGTATGATTGTCTTATTGTTTCTCATTGTATCATCCTGTCTCTTTTATCTTTCAGTACCACATAGGACAGCTGTACATGATAGTAAAACACAGCGATGAACAGTGTATGATTGTCTTATTGTTTCTCATTGTATCATCCTGTCTCTTTTATCTTTCAGTACCACATAGGACAGCTGTACATGATAGTAAAACACAGCGATGAACAGTGTATGATTGTCTTATTGTTTCTCATTGTCTTCTTCTGTCTCTTGTATCTTTCAGTACCACATAGGACAGCTGTACATGATAGTAAAACACAGCGATGAACAGTGCATGATTGTCTTATTGTTTCACATTGTATTATCCTGTCTCTTGTATCTTCAGTACCACATAGGACAGCTGTACATGATAGTAAAACACAGCGATGAACAGTGCATGATTGTCTTATTGTTTCACATTGTATTATCCTGTCTCTTGTATCTTCAGTACCACATAGGACAGCTGTACATGATAGCGAAACATAGTGATGAACAGTGTCTGATTGTCTTATTGTTTCACATTGTATTATCCTGTCTCTTGTATCTTCAGTACCACATAGGACAGCTGTACATGATAGCGAAACATAGTGATGAACAGTTTCTGATTGTCTGATTGTTTCTCATTGTCTTCTTCTTTCTCTTGTATCTTTCAGTACCACATAGGACAGCTGTACATGATAGTAAAACACAGCGATGAACAGTGTCTCATTGTCTGATTGTTTCACATTGTATTATCCTGTCTCTTGTATCTTCAGTACCACATAGGACAGCTGTACATGATAGCAAAACACAGCAATGAACAGTGTCTGATTGGCTGATTGTTTCTCATTGTCTTCTTCTGTCTCTTGTATCTTTCAGTACCACATAGGACAGCTGTACATGATAGTAAAACACAGCGATGAACAGTGTATGATTGTCTTATTGTTTCTCATTGTCTTCTTCTGTCTCTTGTATCTTTCAGTACCACATAGGACAGCTGTACATGATAGTAAAACACAGCGATGAACAGTGTATGATTGTCTTATTGTTTCTCATTGTATCATCCTGTCTCATTTATCTTTCAGTACCACATAGGACAGCTGTACATGATAGTAAAACACAGCGATGAACAGTGTATGATTGTCTTATTGTTTCTCATTGTCTTCTTCTGTCTCTTGTATCTTTCAGTACCACATAGGACAGCTGTACATGATAGTAAAACACAGTGATGAACAGTGTCTGATTGTCTCATTGTTTCTCATTGTATCATCCTGTCTCTTGTATCTTTCAGTACCACATAGGACAGCTGTACATGATAGTAAAACACAGCGATGAACAGTGCATGATTGTCTTATTGTTTCACATTGTATTATCCTGTCTCTTGTATCTTCAGTACCACATAGGACAGCTGTACATGATAGTAAAACACAGCGATGAACAGTGCATGATTGTCTTATTGTTTCACATTGTATTATCCTATCTCTTGTATCTTCAGTACCACATAGGACAGCTGTACATGATAGAGAAACATAGTGATGAACAGTGTCTGATTGTCTTATTGTTTCACATTGTATTATCCTGTCTCTTGTATCTTCAGTACCACATAGGACAGCTGTACATGATAGTAAAACACAGCGATGAACAGTGCATGATTGTCTTATTGTTTCACATTGTATTATCCTGTCTCTTGTATCTTCAGTACCACATAGGACAGCTGTACATGATAGCGAAACATAGTGATGAACAGTTTCTGATTGTCTGATTGTTTCTCATTGTCTTCTTCTGTCTCTTGTATCTTTCAGTACCAGATAGGACAGCTGTACATGATAGCAAAACACAGTGATGAACAGTGTCTGATTGTCTCATTGTTTCTCATTGTATCATCCTGTCTCTTGTATCTTTCAGTACCACATAGGACAGCTGTACATGATAGCGAAACACAGTGATGAACAGTGTCTGATTGTTTCACATTGTATTATCATGTCTCTTGTATCTTTCAGTACCAGATAGGACAGCTGTACATGATAGCAAAACACAGTGATGAACAGTGTCTGATTGTCTCATTGTTTCTCATTGTATCATCCTGTCTCTTGTATCTTTCAGTACCACATAGGACAGCTGTACATGATAGCAAAACACAGTGATGAACAGTCTCAGAAGGGAGAAGGCGTAGAAGTTATCCAGAATGTAGAGTGCGATGACCCTGTCCATGGCAAGGGCAGGTTCACAGAGAAACGGGTCTATCTATCAAAGTAAGTCAGTCAAACCATGGACCTACCGAGTGATCAAACAAAATGGTCCTTAATCAAACCTACCTACAGTATAAATACCATTGTTTGTTTTTTCTGGATTATGTCAGATTTATTCAAGAGATTATATAAAATGTTATCTTAAAGGCACTCCATAGATTTTTTAAAAACTTTTAGAAGGCTTGTTGAAAAATTAGAACAATTAAGTGGTGTTTTGAAGCAAGAATTATGTGGTGACAAAGTTCAGTAGAAATAACTTCTTTATTAAGATATATGATTGAAGGACCATTCGAAATAAGACTTTATAATGCTTTTCAAATGAACATAATATTTTCTCATACATAATATTTGTCATTTAAATGTGAGTTTAGCATGAATGATGTAATGTTAGTTTGTTTCTACTGTGGTATTGAAGAAAGAAAAAGTTGTATGGCTAAATTCCCTGATTTGAAGAATGAGAAACTAATATTTTCTCACCACATTTATTCATGTTATATCATTCATTTAAACCAGGTCTTGGAATTAGTGTCTTGATGTAGTTCGATTGTGTACCCGTAATGCTCATTTAACGAAAACCTTTTCTTGTCTTTGTTACAGTCGATTACCAGTCTGGATACAGAAGTTAGTTTCCAGGTTGTGCAGCTACTTCTATATAACAGAGAAGGCATGGAATCACTATCCTCATACCATGACAGGTTAGCCATCAACTTCAACTAAAAATTTCTCTAATTATTTCTATTTAATAAAAATATGTGATTTGTTACCCAGTATACTGTTCTCTTTAGCCTAAACATACTTATGCACGTACCAAACTTTAATCTTTCCTTATTATCTGAAATGTTAAAACCTGTGATTTTCATTTAGTTAATACACCTAATGGCCCAACATATTCAATAGGAATTAGGTGCTTTGCTCATCTAAGAGAGAAATGCCCCTCTCAATCGTAGGGAACCCCACAAATTTGATGGCAGAATTTCACTTAAATTGTATCGTAATGTGAAAGAGGATGTCATTTAAGACACATTTCTGCAAGGATTTTTTTTTTTTAAATGAGTTTGAAGCCAAATATTGATAAAAGAATACAAAATTTAGGTTTTCTTAAGGTATGGGGGGATCTTTGCATCAAATTTTGGGCGAATTTGGGGTTCCCAGCACTTTAGAGGGGCTTTTACATAGCGAAAGAGAGGCAATTGCTTGAACCAGTAGAAAGAAAAGGAGGGTAAGGGAAAGAGAGAGAAAGAGAGAAAGAAAGCAAAAGAGAGAGAGAGATAGAGAGGAAAATAGAGAGAGAGAGAGAGAGAAAGAAGACTTATACACATTAAGTGAAGGAGAGGGAGAGAGGGTGGGAGAAGCAGACAGACAGACAGAGAGATAGAGACAGAGACAGACGTACATGAATATGAATAATAGGAAAGCATAGCATATCAATCACATTGAGCCCCAAGCATTAATTTCTCATCATGGATAGTGCACTTGACTCCATTGCCATGCAACCACATGGATGATGAGGTACATTGTAAGGCACGGAAATAGACAGGGACAGTGATAGAGACAGAAAAAGGAGAGAGAGAGAGACAGAGAGACAGAGAGAGAAAGAGAAGGAGAGAAGAATGAAGGGAGCAAGAAAGGGAAAAAAAGATAATAGAGAGAGATATAGAGATAGAGAGAATGAGAGAGAGAGAGAGAGAGAGAGAGAGAGAGAGAGAGAGAAAAATGAAGGGAGCAAGAAAGGGAAAGAAGATAATAGAGAGAGATTCAGAAGAAAAGGGGAAAGGAGAAAAAAAGTAAAATATAGAAAAGAAAGGGAGAATAGAGAAAGAGTGGATAGAGAGTTTGAGAGAGATGACGAGACAGAATACAGACAAGGAAACAAAGGGAGAGAAAGAGAGAGAGAGATAGGCAGACAGACAGACAGAGGGAGAGAGAGACAGAGAAAGCGATTGAAAGCGAGAGAGGTATATACACGTGGAATGGTGGTCTATAAAACAGTCACAAACATACATGCTGCCGGATCCCCTAGACTCTATCGGTTCTTCACCGCATATCCATGCAGTCCCTCACCACTGCCCATGTACTGTCAGCTGTTCCATGTCAATTGAGTTTAGCCGAGGGATTGGTCTGGGATCAACTTGCAGATCATTTTGATTTTCATACTTAATCTTCTTTAAGCCAACAATGGTTTCACACTGTTGCTCTTACTGTCATGGGAAAACGGCAACAGAAACTTGAGAAACACAGTTTCTAAAACTGTCAGTTTAGTTATCGTTTAATTTGATTGGATTTTTATTAAAACTTTGACCAGTCTACTTGATTTTTTTGCTTCCTCTAGAGAAGTTTCCTATCAAGGTTGGGTATCCCTATAAGTGAGATAAACTCAGAAGATTTAAGATTATCCGCTGAATGGTATTGTAAGTTTTGTTGTCAGGAAAATGTGCAGAAACCTCAAAGTGTTCCATATACCTAAAGAATGTATAAATCAATCAACCCTCGAAGAAATTGTATCCAGCATCCTTTGTGCTAAAAGAAAAGTAGTATTAAGAAATTAAAGAATAACATGAAACCCAGCGCAAATGTATTCTATGCAAGCGCATATAAATGTACATGTACATGTGCATCTAGAAGTTTACGCACAAGTCACATTTATGTAATAATTGAGAGTGTCTTTAAACTTGCTGATTCTCTTTATAGCTTGAATGTGGTATAGCAACATGGAACCCTTAAAATATAACACATACCGGGGTAGTATTTTTGGTAATTGGTACACTTTAATTCATGTTGCCCAGGTCTAGGATACCAGTATTTTTATTAATCAGGCCTGATAAAAACCCGATTTAAATCAGTTTTCTGATTTTTTATATTTTTCCCGATTTTTTCCCGATTTTTTTTTCTTCCCGATTTAAAAAAAAAAAAAAAAAAAAAAAATCCAGATTTTTTTTTTTTTTTTTTTTTTTTTTTTTTTTTACCAGATTTTTTTTCTTCTTCGCTATTAATTTTATCCTGATTTTCCTGATTTCCACCTTATTTTCTCTGTTCTACCCTATTTTTTTCCCAAATTTCCCTATTTTTTCCCAATTTTCTCACTCGAAAGGGGGGAATGTTGTTAGATGCCATTTTTTCCCCGCGAATCCTCTTCTTTTTTTTTTACTCAAAGGGGGGCGTGGTTGAGGGGAAAACAAAAAAACCGATTTTTTTTAATTTTTTTTAGTGCTCACCCCTGATTAATCAATTTGGCAATTAAAGGTTTATGACTATGGCATTGTTATGGTATTATTAGAAAGGCTACATTTCAATAAGGGATTAAATGTGATTACTTATGATATTGACTACAAATATCTTCATCTCCTAATTGAAAATTGAAAGATGACAGACGTGTCAAAACCTTATGGGGCCTAGGGATGGGGGATCTTATTGGAAGTCACCATATTCAAGGATACATGATTACCAAAGATCCATCAGTGGTCTGAGTTTGGCTGATTAATCTGCAAAGAGGAATGTGTCTTGGTCGACTCAAAAAGCTAATAAGCTTCTATGTTGAATATAATGAGTTACTGCTCCCAGTGGAATACAGTGCACTTACAAGTGAAATCAAAATGAAAAAGCTACATATTGTAAATCCACACTCACACTCCTCCCCCCCCCCCCCATTTCCCCAAGAAGAGAACACTTTCTTCCCTTTTCCCAGATGTGACTCGTCCATCATGATCATGAAGAGGGTTTTCTGATAAGTCCAATTTGATACCAAATCTGCTTAATGCTACATGATTTACTATAGCATAAACTGTCAGGGGGCTGCCTTTGTAGGAAATACTGATGGACGTAAAGTATTCTCTCATTTTGCTGTGGTTGCGTTTGCTATGGGATTTGTTTCATCAAAGATGTGGGATTTAAGTTGTATTTCTGTATTCTTGTTTAAATAGGTTTAGTGTTAGGATTAGGGTAATGTTTAGTGTAGGGGCTAGTGTTAAAGTTGATCATTTGATTAGTTTACCGTATCAACTGCTCCACAGTTTTTAACAGAGGAAGTATTGTAGATCCATACATATTTACCACCTTTCCCTTAGGCCTGTAAGAAGTCAACCCTTACTGACTTTAGTCATTAAGTTGGGTCTTAATTTGAAATTCAATTTTATTCATAGAAATTGATTAAAGGCATTGTTTAACAATGTTAATCTGAGATGCACGGCCCTACATGTACATGTTATCAGTGTATTTGATATGGTGTAATATTGAAGCCGTAAAAAAATTGCGCTTCAAAATGACCAAGAAGTGCCTCAAAAAAGTAAAAATCTTTGAGTTTTACCATACTTGTTTTTCCCAGTAGACTGTAGTGTTATGAAAACCATTAATCAGACAGGCGATCGGCTTGTAAAAGTCACAGGGTTCATGACTGATCTAAAGGTTTATAAGTATCATTGCAGCGTGAGCTAAATCCAGGATTTTGTTTCAGAATCTGAGACAAAGTTACCCAACCCCTTTAAGGTTTTAAGTGCGTAGTCAAATCCAAGTGCTCCATATCTAAAGCAACATCATACATGTATGTGCATGTTTGATGGCTCAGTTGTAGAGCAGGTGTCTTGTCACTGTGAGGTACTGAGTTTAAAACCAATTGTATCTGCTTGTGCTCTGTGCAAAAGACCTACACGTACAGCTTCAAGTCCTTTGGATAGGAGTTTCAGCTGTTTGTCCTCCTGGATCCTTAACATCCTGGTGAAATAAACCACCATTTAACAAAATCACATTCAGTTTAATACTTTCATATCTTCTTCAGATAATCATGTTTTTTTGCTTTCTGGTAATACGCCCCAAATACATTCCTAGATAAGATTTTAGCAAAAATTCCTGTCAGGACTCTTATCAGCTGCTGAATTACTTCAGCACTATTAACCTGATGAAGATTACTTTCCCTCCTAAACTGTCCCCAGAGGAATTATTGATAGTTTCATATCTACTTTAGATATCACAGAATACAATTAGAAAACATAGTATTTAGACTTCAATAGCGATGGTGATTATTTTACCTGATGGGTAAGAAATCATAAATGCTTGAAAGTAAGCAGCCAGACGGCCGGCAGCTCCGAGGGACCTGGTAATGAGGATTAATGCCTTACCAAAGGGCACTAGCGCATCGACTTGGTTTCGAACCCGGGTCACCAGATTACGAGACCACTGCTCTACCGACTGAGCTATCGCGCCTCCTCTTGAATACTTGAATCCATACATACATTCTTTTCATCCATTTGCCTTTGATGATTCACACATGAGTTCTAGGACCAGTGCCTCTATGTCTACTACCCCCTGAACAACAACACCCAGACGACCACTCCCGGACAAAATTACCCCTAGGGCCTATCCCATTTCCCTGACAACTACGCCCATAGCAATTATTCACTGTTTAATACTTCCATTTCTTCTTCAGATAAAGCGGAACACAACTTACTAGAACTAAATATCCAATATTACTATCAATTTTAATTTGCCTTTGATTCTTTAAGAAAACATTTTAGGTCAAATATGTTAGACAGACATCTACAGTATTCCAGTGTAGCTACGTTTTTTCTGTAAAGTTTGTGGGTACAAAGATTAATGTAGTCATGATGTCTCAATTACAGAGTATATACTTTCATCCTGTATGTCAGAGGCAACATTGAGTACCTTACTTCACTCCTAAACCCTAAAGGATACTAAACTCAATAGA